CTATCAGTGCTGGTTTAGCCTCAAGACTACTAGCGTAGAATCGTAGCTCTGTGAATGGATCGACGAAGCCCATTGCTATGAGGTTACCAAATGCACAACAAAGTTACAATCTCTTGAAGCATACTGTACAAAAGCTGACGAGTTGGACTATTTTTTGCACGACTATAGAACTACCCTTAGGGAAAGGAGACAGTGTGCAAACAAGAGTGAGAAGGTTGGCGTTACGTGCAGTATCCAATGGGCTTCGCAGGGGAATATGACCACGTAAAAAGCTTAGAGTAGATTTTCCCAATAGATTCCATCGACAAGCAATGATAATGAATCTATATACTTACTTCTTGCAATGCTTTTAGTTCGGAGCAACTGATTTCTTATGTAATCGTTGTCCTGACCATCCCATTTAACCTCTTGCACTATATCTACCACGTACGTTGAATCATCACTGAATGCCATCTGTAAAAACAAAAATATAAAGAAAAAACGCCGCCAATCTGTTAACTGAAATCCTAGGTCGACTTACACTTGCATCGTTGATGATGGTATCGCAGTATTTCACCTGGTTCGATGTATAGAAGATAGCTACACGATTCCATTCAAACAGTTCAAACATTTGAACTAAAGATTCCATCATTCTGAAATGCTGAACAGTAATACCCAAGAGCGGTGTGTTGTGAGAGACTGTGACATTAAAGCTGACCTTCCCTAACCCAAAAGAAGGAGACTTTTGTTTAGAATGACTGTTTTATAGTTGTGGAAGTTCATGCAACGCAAAGAACTGAAAGGCTTGTTTCTCTGAGAATCTCGAAATTCACCGAAAGTGGATCACCCTAAACCCTGAAATTCGTCGTGACATGCAAGCTCTTTTAGATGGTTTCAGATATCACTACTAAGCAGTTGTTATCTAACTATACTGAAATAGTTTTCTATGCACCCAGAACTTTCAATTCCTTCGAAACCCGGTTGGCATAATGTGAAGCTAAGGTTGCAGATGTTAGCAACATTTCAGAGCATCCGCGGTCGGAAGAACCTGCTTCGGAAAAAAAGGTTGTACTGTTGTAAAGATTACTTACTTCAGTGAGTCTGGCATGACTTTTGTTAAATATTTAAAACGACTGGCTTCACTGAACTTGGAGTCGATTAGCATACCCCATCCAAGGATAACTTTCGAATAGTATGTTGACAAATAAGCCATCATCTCGGCTGCTAAAAGAGTTAACCATGAACGACTTTCAATGAATCTTGGCATCGTGGGAGTTTCCGTATGAAGGTGTGGTCTGACGAAGGCGTTAACGCCGAAACGTTGACTGAATAAAGAACAGTACCATCTTGGCTGAGGCTATACCACACCTTCATGCTAAAAGAATTAGCCTTTCAATATTCCGCAAGCAAAGCCCGACGCGATGAAAATAGGTGTTTAGAGCTTCTGTTGTAGTACCACAGCCCACGTAAAAAAACTAAATAAAGCTAGAGCCAGAGAATTATGATAAATGTGCAGTATCAAAAAGGGCTGATAATTAGTCATCTAAGGCTGGCTAATTATCAGCTAGCTAATTGAGTTGACGAAGATCATCAGAGTGAAAAGTTCATTTCTACGCTCTATGTTGTTGCTAATTTCCCCTTCTCCTCAGCAACATAACACTCAGGAGCCTTAAGAAAAGATTATTTATAGTAGTGCTGTCTGCGTTCAAGAGCGCTGGTTATGGGAGAACTCATTACTGTCCAGTTTTCTTTCAAGGTGTTACGAGTGGACTGCTTCAACTAAGAGCGACGGGCCGCTCCATTGTTATTCCACAGCCATATGATGACTATTTAATTCAGATTCGTCTACTATTTTAAATTAGCATTCGGTAAGGAAAACATTGGTGAGTGTTGTGATTTGAGATGCTGCTACTGTAGGATTGAACCCACATAAGACAGTGATTTCTCAGATACCTACGTGGTTGAATATTCTCCCACAGAGTTGCTAAAAACTGTAAAGGATGATGGATAAATCTTTTACATCAACTGTTTTCGGGAAAGCCCCCAATCTCCTCCCTCAAAACGAGGAAAGTAGGTAATTCCGACGTCTGTCACGAAGATCTGATAAAATTTGTAAGTAATAGTAAGAGTAGCTAAGTACTTGATACCCAGTCGTATAATTGTTCTACTTGAACGGTGCTGCCTCCCTGTTATCGGCATTCTTTGATCAAAACGTTGTAGCTTCACTCTGTAAGAGGATGAACTAACAGTGTGGGCAAGGAGGTCCAATAACGAGGTCGACATCCTGCTTCACCATGTACTCCAAGGCCACTCCAACAGCTGTCTCAGTACTGCACTCAGTAAAGTTCACGATGAACCTGAACAAGTTTCTCAAATGAAAGTAATCCAAGATAGACAATTGAATTGAAGTATCTGAATAATTCGAAGCAGTATGAGGGATGGTCTGAAGCGTATGGCCTTTATAATCTAGTGCCCAAACCAGTAACTGCAGTCACCAACAGGCCTCATTTAACAGTTTATAAGGGAGACAACAAACTCGAGCAAGAAGTACAAGAAAGAAGGCAGGGAGAGAAAATCGTCGAAAAGGGAAGCGTAAATCGCAGCAGGTAAGCGCCTTCATCTACATTAAGTTCCAGCAAGTGATTCCCATTGAGTTGACCCTAGAAATGATTACTTTAGATAGCTACCCGAGTAGCGGTTATTTTTCCAAAATTCCCACTGCAAGTGGCAGTGGTTTTGTTGTGGCTACCGTATCCTTCCACCGGAAAATCTGAACCTTCCCTCTCATTTCCTCCCGAAAACCGCGTCGCGGTATTGTGTATTAGTATTAGTATTAGCTGAGTGTTAGTCACTTCGACAAGGACACTGAAACATTTATTAGCTTAAATCAGCTGTACCTATATTCTCAAAAAACTATGGTTATGGGCTGGTAAAAAAATCTAGTATCGCCAAAAGTTCAAGAAATATTCCTTAAGTTTCACAGCATTCTTCACATACGGGTATGAGAGAGAATTTTTTGCTACACCTTGACCATGCGGCGTGACAGTGAAGATTCGACGGCAAAGGGCAATGTCCATAGACACGATTCTTCCTCATAGCTAGATCTCATACCATCCTATAACTTAACTTGCTTCTTCACTGCTCAAAGTGTGAGGTTGAAAATTTCAGGAAGGGTCTGGTGCTGTCTGTGAGATGGTCATATCAAGTTCACAACAAGGTTAAGAACGGCCACTGAAATGTCGAACAATCACGATTTCAAATGGATTTTACCACTTTTTTGCAGCTGTCATTTGTCAAGCGACAGCTATATGAATCGCTGTTGTAAATAAGACCAGCTGAAGAATAATCACCTCAACTGCCCACCACCGCTCAAGAAAATAAAATCGCTAAGGATACCTAACTACCTGAAGTCAATCCCGTCCGTTATACCCTCGGAACGCATTCGATCGAGGGCTAAACCGATAGCACCGCCGCTTTGTGAAAATCCCATGAAATTGGGCAGGACATTTTCTACAGCTGCGATCCCAACAGTCACCTGAACATGCTTCGAACTATACGGAATCATTTTGTTTCTAGCTGAACGACTTAGGTGGTGCGACTTTATAGAATATGTACTTACCACTTTCTTTTCTTGAGTATCAACAGGACCATTCAGGCAAAAAAGTATCAGAGCGATCATACAGGCGTTAGTCATCGAATGCAAAAGAGACAAGTGAGGCTTCTTCTTTGCAAATTCACAGAACTCATAAATCCGAAGCCTTTTGAACTGCCCTGATTAGGGCTGAAATTCCTATGGCTGCATTCCAATATGCTGTAAACTCACAACATAAACAAACTTCTGACTTCAAACATCTAAGGGCCTGATGAACGGGAAGAAAAGAAAGCATACAAAGCGGTTGAGGGCTTTCGTTTGGACACCATCATTTTTCATGAGTGGCAGACTTCTAGCGCATTCTATTACGTAGGTCCACAATGATCAGAAAGCGAGTATTGCTTGGCTTAGTCGCACAACTCGTGAGCTCATTTTGGAGCCGAAATTCATGGTCACAAATCAAATTTGAAGGAGAAGGCCCTCATATTACTCAAGGGGTCCTCCTACTCAGGGTCACGTATTATGACTACCTAGTTTCGACGAGGTCCTGATTGAATTAAGTACAGGCCAGAATCTGCGCTAGGAAAGAAGGTTGTTACCTCCAACCCCCAGCATCGCTTGATTGCTTGATTGCGTAGCTTTTTGTGAAATTAGTCCACGTGATGTTGCTAAACAAGTTGTGGCTATACTGGTGGTATTTTTAGAGAAACCTTCTCCGGTGTCCGGTGCAAATAATATCAAAGCCGAAATATTCCTAGGTTCAACAGGTATTGAAAAATACTTGGCTATAAAGCATCGTTTATATTATACATGAATATGTACATGTAGGCGATGACTACCGCCCTCTGACACCTGTTTCTACATCTCACTCTACTTGTTCGAACGTTTTTCCAATTCACTTTCAAAGAAAAGTGCATGCCTCTGGAACTCGGTAACTTCGAATAGATGAATGTTAGCCTTGTCTTAGTAGATTCATGAGCGGAGTGATATAAGAGCTACTATTGCTTCAGGGTTCAGGTTCAAAATCGGAGTTCTAGTGTAATTTCAAATGTTTAAGTGATTATAAGGATCCTCAAAAAGTGGAGATGCTATGGGTAGGCTCTTTGATCGAATGCATTTCGTGGATGTGACGTATGTGACTGACTTCAGATGCTAGGTATGTACCTTCGATCAGGCTTTTACACTTCCTTTGCGCTTATGAAATCAGCTAGATAGCTTATGAAATCACTTCGCTTTGTTTGATGTTGAGCTGGCTTTATTGACGCCATCTAGTACTGGCATAGATGAAAGCTGCCAAATAAAAGAGCTCCCATCAAAAAAATGCGACCGTCAGCGAGGGATGTCCGTTCCGTCCTCAAAGGTTCTGTAAGGTACATAATGAATTCGACGTCTATACATTATGTACCTTACAGATCCTTTAAGCTGGCACCCAATCGTTCTCTCATCATGAATTCTTCAGAAGGGCAAGATACAAAACGCAAACAAAACAATTACAAAACAAAATAACCCCGAACTTTGGGAGAAATCGGGAAAATGGGCTAAAGGGGTAAAATCCAAGAGCGGCCTAGACGGTGTGTCTATTTTGATAAGATCTCACGATCATAAGTCTTCTCGGATTGACTATTCCATTTCCATTGTGTATAAAAGGTTTTAGGGAGATTTTGAACCTTTACGTTGAACGTTTGGCCTCATAGGATCTCACGAAAGAGGAGAGGCGGTAAATGTTCAACTCGGTAATTTTGTTTTTATTTGCTTATTGTAATATCATTACATCATGAACTGCTTGGGTAGTGAGAATAGACCCACTTACAGTAGCTTCTCTACCTCAGTCTTACTGCGGCATTAGTTCAGTGAGACATGAATAACTTTAAAAGGGCTGGTCCACATTGGAAAGTAGTTTTACTCCGAGTCTGAAGACCTGCACGACTACTTCAGAGACATGCGGCTGTGTCAATAAGTTACGATTGTCGACCTCGCGAAGATCTAGAGCAGATCTTCTTCTCAAGAGAATGGCGTAACGCGAAGAGTTCGCCTTCATCCTTCACAAGTTCCAAGCAGTTTTCACCCTATCTCACTTCTGAACTCCCTTTTTAGGCTGGTGGTAAGTCTTTCATGTCAACCTCCTACGTGACTGGACAGTCCGACAGACCGGCAAAGAGACCGACACGCCAAGCAGTTAGTTTTCATAATAATATCACTTCATCGTTAAACTGAGCTATAGCCATATCTATCGGTAATGAACTCTTCTCTGAGACAGATAAACTAAGAAGATAAACACCCTGTTTATTGTGTGGAAAGAATGAACAGGTTCATTCGAGCTTGTGTTTTCGTAGTGGTCACTCTACATCTCAGGTGATGGCGGCCGTGGCCTCCCAGAGAGCAAAACGGCGACACTTCAAGACCAAGCGGAAAGCAGAAGATGAGCTGAGACGTCAAGTTGACTTCAATTCCGATGACAACATGGTAAGTGACCCTGTTGATTTTTTAGCAAAAAATCAGCGCATGATATCTCCCTACATGCTCAGTAATAGGTATTTATGGAATATGGCCAGAAAGATATAAGTAAAGACTTACAGATTTCATTTCATTTTCAGCTTTAGAAATAGCTCACCTGAAAGGGGGATAAGAANTTCGAACTATACGGAATCATTTTGTTTCTAGCTGAACGGCTTAGAGACGGGTGCGACTTTATAGAATATGTACTTACCACTTTCTTT